TTCTTTCTCCGCGCTGGCTGTTGTCGCCCTGTTGATGACGTCAGCGAGGCAGTTTAATCGGGCGTGGCTTAGTCGAGCGCGGTTTTGACGGGTCATGCATTAAAAGCTCCTGTTAAAGGACAGCAAATTCTAAGTATCAGCAACTGCCCCTGTTATTTCCGCAAGCAGCCCCAAATTTCATATACATTGATATTGCTGCACTCCCAATCCTGACCGGTCTCGTCATGCTCTGTTATCGCAACCCTTTCTTCTCTTGCTCAGGTATAATCCAGCCCATTCCTGCAGGAAAGGAGACCCATAATCACAGCAGCAGCAGCAGCACAGAAGATCTGCTCCCTGCTCCTAAGACCAAGGAGCTGAGCATCAACGACCAAGAAAAACTATTATTGGATTACAATGTGTACATGTCCCAAATAATTCCAGCAGTTACTGACTCCGACCCAAAGTCCTGCCCCAATAGAGCAGACAGCCCTGGTTCCAAAAAGGTGAGGAAATCTGGCTGAAATCACAGGAAAAGCAGTTACTTAATGAAACTGCAATTGTGTGTTTGATCTTACAAAGGATTGTTTGCAAAGTTACTTTTTCATCACTGTTATAACTGAATAGTTACTGAACGAGGCAGTTGTTAAGGACTACCTTTATATGTATATAAAATTGAACATTGTATTTAGTATTTAGGAATTGTTTTTCAAAGCTCCTTTTTTAAAAAAAATTGAACATAAAATGGTCTATTGTGATCCATGAGTTTTGATTATTCAGAATTTATCTTGGACGTTTTGTAAGATACCTATTATTCTTTGCTATTTAGAAATAGTTTATTCTCTGCTTCAACCAAAATTGCTCCTCCAAAATTCCCCATTTTCTGTCCTCAGATCTTCAGTCTTACAAAATAAATTTAGAAATCTCTATTTTTTGATAAGATAAGAGAGAGAAATGCTGCACTGAGTTTATGGATGATGATAAGGTGTGTGGCATTCCATTTGCTGAAAAATTAAAGCTGATGGTACCATCCCCAAGTATTTAGAGTTTGCTAAAATATTTTGAATGCCAATTTTCAGACCCATAAGGTAAACATACCATCTTACCAAACAAAATAAAATACTGCATAAACTCAGGGCAATCCAAGAGGGGGTCATAAATATTAAGATGATGGTGATAGCTACACAACAGAAACTCCATTCTTGTGGAGGGCGGCATGTGGCCATTATAGTCCGATAAGATGAGTGATTTCTTTCCCTTTTGTTCTTTTCAGTTCCCTGGGGATGAAAATCTGACCTCCAACCCCCCTATAGTTTGGGTCAACGCAATGCTTGGCCGAATGTTTTGGGACTTCCTAAGGGAAAAATATTGGGCAGATCAAGTTTCAGATAAAATTCAGAAGAAACTAGGCAGAATCAAGGTGAGAAAAGCTGCTTTTCCGTGTCTTCTTGAGCAAACTTCCAGGGGGCAAAGAAATCCTGCCCAGTCCTACCCTGCTATCCAGGAAGAAGGCTGAGATACCCAGAAGGCATTGCTTCCTGACTCCAAAGGCAAATTTGGAAGCAAATTTGCTCATCCACGTGTTGTAGGCATGTACCTCACCCTACATTCCCACAGCACAGTCACAACTTCACCAATCATGTTTCAGCCTAGAATGTCATGCAATTCAGCACACATGATTAGATTATGGTTTTGTAAATCATGCAAACCTCCTCACCCAAAATCAGTTGAGTAAACCATAGGGTGCAAACGCAATATTTTCTTCTAGACGTTTAATTTTTGAGTGCTGTGGGACGTCTCACCATATTTAGACCAAGCAACCAGAGAGGCTGATGTTGCTGGATACAAATGGATTGGCTGATATGGTATCATTCTCAGCTGAAGTTCCTGCCCCCCTCCCCCTGAGTTCCTAGTGGACCACAACAAGGACACTAGAGACACAGTGCACCTGTCTGATGCTGGTTCTATCAGAGAATTAGTTGGCTCTTGGAATGGGACTGGACATTTGTGAATACAGTAGAATACAATGAAAATTCCTTTTGTATCTTCTAAATAGTTGGTAACTTTCCCACCTCAAGTCAAGAGCCAGTTAGAAAGAGGATAAAAGGCTTGAAGGGCATCTTAATGTTCTCTCTGATAAGTGAAGGTAAAATATACAAATCTGGTTTCCAAGATTGTGTTACTCAATCCCTTTTTCTTTGCAAGAAATCTAACCCAGGGACACTCTGTGAATCATGTTTTGCATGTGGCCATTAGGGGCCTGATATTGACTAGTAAAGAATGCCAGCCTGACAGCAACTTTCTTCCTCTCTTTGACTTTCCTGATGGTTGGTTTTTTTCCCTTCTTCCTTTGCTCTGATGCAGTTGCCATATTTCATGAATGAGCTCACTCTGACTGATCTGGAGATGGGGACCTCCATCCCACACATACTTGGCACTTCTAGCCCCACAGTGGATAACCGAGGTATGTTTTGGTGACCAGCAGCCTGGGATTCCCATTTCTGTCATTTTGTGGCCCATATGAACCTGGAATTGTTAGATGGATGAGACAGGACTCAGGCTTCAGTGACAACAACAGCTCTTTATTCAGCAAACTATGTATAGATCCAGCGCTGGCCTGTTTGACAGCTTCCCCTTTTATAGGGAGCTATCAGATGGCTCAGCCAATCAGCTTCAAGTATTTTCCCAAAGGAATGGAGGACCTTGGTAGAGCCTATTGCTCCAGTCTCAATATCTAACACCCCTCCCCTCTAAATCTGTTTAGTACGATTCTCAAGCATTTGAGGAGTTGCTCATTATTTGCGGCGGATACCAGGACATCATCGAAATAAGGGACTACTTCTGGTATCCCCTGCAAAAGTCGTTCCATGACACTTTGGAACAGTCTGGGGGCTATGCTGACTCCAAATTCCAATCTATTGCATTTGAATGCACCCTTGTGTGTCATCATACTTTGGGCCTCCGTAGTAGCACCATCTACTGGCAATTTCTGGTAAGCCTGTGCCAGATCTAATTTTGCAAATATTTTTCTCAGCCCAAGGGAGTGAAGCAAATACTGAACAATTGGTACCGGGTAAGCATTTTGCTGGAGGGCTTTATTCAGGGTGCACTTATAATCCATGCAGATGCTGATTGACCCATCGGGTTTAACTGGGGTCACTATTGGGGTTTCCCTCCGGGCATGGTCGACAGACTCCAGGATTTCCTGAACAATCAATTTGTGCAATTCTTGGTCAATTTTGGGTTGGAGGGCAAAAGGAACCCTCTGGGTCTTCATCCTAAATTGAGCAACATTGGGGTCTAGGCTAAATGATATAGGAGTTTCCACATATTTGCCTAGGTCTCTGCTGAAGACGTCCTCAAACTTGCAGATCAATTTGTCAGCACTGTCATCAATGATGGCATTGATGCTGGTTACCCCCATGGCCAGGGATTCGAACCAATCAAAGCCAAGCAGGCTTGGGAAGGAGCCGCTGACCACTGTCAGTGTAAGCGGCCCATCAAAAGATTTAAACTGATTTACAGAGGGAAGGAAGTGTTTCAACAGGAAGAGATTCAAAAGGCCTTTCTGGAATTTTTTACAGAACTGTATAAAGGGGATAAAATTAATGGTTTAGATATAGACAAATATTTAGATAAAGAGAAAATACCTTCAGTTAGAGAAGAGCACAGGGAAAAATTGAATCAACCAATAACCTCGGGGGAAATCCTGCAGGTAATTAAGCAATTAAAGTTAGGGAAAGCACCAGGTACAGATGGCTTGACAGCGGTTTACTATAAAAACTTACAGTTAGAAATGGTAGAACCTCTTAGAGAATTATTTAATATGATTCAAACGGAAGGTAAAGTCCCTCCATCTTGGAAGACAGCGTTTATATCTTTGATACCCAAAGAAGATCAAGATACTACTCAACCCAAAAATTATAGACCTATTTCATTACTGAATTATAAAATTTTTACTAAAATATTAGCAAATAGGTTAATGTTGGTCATTCAACAATTGATACATACGGACCAAACAGGTTTTATACAAGGGAGACAGATGAAAAGT